AGCATCAATAACTCACTTATCAATAGATTTTAATTGTAATCTAATGCAGTTCACTATGCAAATTATATATAACCTGAATGTGGTATTTATCTAAAAAAAATTTTTTTTTGTACTAAGTTAATCACTTTTGTGTATTAAATAAAACTTGTATAACTCGTCAAGACACATCTAATAGTAGTAAGATCATCAAAAACGGTCTAGTAGTTGCCGAAATATTGCTAAAAAATAATTAGCTGACTATATAAAATTTTATGTAAACAAACTATTGTTTTTATAGAAATTTTACATAATCAGTCAATTATTTTTTAGAGATATTTCAACAACTACTAGACAGTTTTTGATAATCTTATCACTATTAGTACACCTTGACAAGCTTTACAAGTTTTATTTAATACACACAAGTAATTAACTTAGTATAAAAAAAATTTTCTTGAATAAACACTATATCCAGAGTATATATGATTTATATAGTAATCTGCATCACGTTATACTATAATCATGCACTAGATGATTAGTAAATCACCAATTAATAATAATATATTCAAAAAAGTATTTGATTTGAATGAGTTATCATTAGATACCAATACTTTAAAGTAAGTGTATATATTATTTATTATATATATATCTTATTTTTTTAAAATGATTACTAATATTAATAATTGAAAATTTTAGTATCTTTGCTTTAGCATATACCGTATATGTCCGAAAATAAGCTACCATTTTTAGATGATATCTAAAGTGGAGCAGATTCTTATAATATATATTTTTTGAATTAACTTTAGGGTTAGAGTCATCTTATATTGAGGTTAGATTAGATTTTAAATAGTTATATATAAGCAAAGTTGCTTTCTTAACATTTTTAATTAATCTATCTGAGGTAGGTTTGGACTATCATTTTTTGTATTTTTCAGGTTTTTTGTTTTTATTTCTTGTTTTGTTTTGCCAGTGATCATTAAAATTCTATAATTTGATTGATCAGATATCACATGATTCTGCTCCACTTTAGACGACCCTATTTTTGGTCAAAAAGTTACACAAAAATGTTTATTTTTGAATAAAAGCATTTTTTGCTAATTGCAAAAAATTTTACTAAGTAAATTGACAATGCATATTAAATGAAAGTTGTTCAGGAAATAAATTATACATATTTTAAAAGTTTTATATAAATCAGATAACTTTTTATTAATTGACTTTTGATTTTTATGTTCGATAAATATGAATTTTAAAGAAACTTTAAAGAAATTTTAAAAAATTCATCGAACGTAACATGCAAAAACGTATTAATAAAAAGGTATCTGATTTTGATAAACTTTTAGAATATATATATTTTGATCTCTTAAACAACTTTTACTTAATAAGCTTTGTCGATTTATTTAGTAAAATTTTGATTTTACATAGAGTAACTACTGACGATCATTAAGTAACTTATTTTTAGATATAAGACGTTTTTATATTTTTCTTCCAAAAAAGAAAGATAGCTTATTTTCAGTAGTAGCTTATTTTCAGACAAATATAGTAAAATTTCATGTAAATTTATTGTCAAGGATGATGCTGAAATTGGATAATGCTAAAATTCACATAATTACATGATAATCTTCTATATAAATAAATCTAAAAATATTTATAGAACCCTAGTATCACCAACTAAAAAATTTTACTATTAATATCATAATTAGGGTTTGGGTATAATTATATTTTAATTACTCTAGTAGAATTAGACATAATATATATAAAATCAATAAAAAACCTTATATACTCTAATTCTAACTCTAATACTAATGATGATAGTAATGCTAGATATTTATGCAGAAGATTATCATGTAATTACGTAAATTTTAGTATTATTTAATTTTAGCATCATCCCCAATATTTATTAATTCTATTACGAATTACAATATATCGAAAAGTCAAAACTTGAAAAGTATTATTAGGTTTTATATTATATATAGTATACATATTAGCAATATATTTTATTTATATATTTACTTATAAACTTTTATATAATTATAACGAGATGATGATTTATCTGAACCTACTTATTTTATTAGATATAAAGATTTCAAAAAAAATAAATGAGGTTATTGATATTTAAGCTTATCCAAACAAATTAATATTGAATATTTAAAACAATTTTTTTAAGAATATATATATTATAATAATGAAATTGCAAAAATGAGATACAGTATATATATTCTAAATTATTTAATTAAATTAATAATTATATAAAATTAATATGTATATATTTTGGTTAATATTTTAGAATTCAATATTATTATATAGTTTATCTATTTAGTGCATATTCAAAAAATACTATAAATATATATATTTATATTTATTTAAATTAAATTTATTTTAATTTAAAATTAATCTGTTTTGACAAAAATTTATAAATTATTTTTATAAAATTAAATTAATAATTAATATTTATTATATATAGCTTATATTTTTATACTACTAAAGACAATCAAGTATCTCAAGAGTTGATTCAAAAAAAAATTAGATATCCTGTAAAATTTTGGTATTATATGCCTAAAGATCTTAAAAAATATTTTTATATAATAATTATATTACAGTATTTACACAATTATCTACTATCACCTCTATCTAAAATACTAGTTGCAATTCAAAATAATTTAAAAGATATAATCACAAATAAAGATATTTTAGATTTAACTGTCAGAAGATTAATTATAGAAAATAACTAGCTATACACAGGGTGTTTGTACTCGGGTCACGTGTATATATAAAAAAATCGTAACCCAGTATTCAAAACCTGGGTCCTGTGTATATAAAAAAATTAGTGTTTGAAATCCAGATCACATATTATAATAGGTAAGTTTTGATAATTACAACTATGTTATATTTAGTACAATTTATTAGTAATAAACTCACTTTATTTTTTTTTTTTCACGCTATTGTGTCTTCTATGTCTCTGTATTTTAATTCAAAATGAGTGGTTTTATCAATCAGGACAATCAAAATGCTAATAATTTCCGTGACCTATTTTTACATCATACTTTCAAAACCTTCAGTATTTTCAAGATTTTGGCAATCTTCAAGGCTTTCAAGAACTTGAAAACTTTGAATACAATCAAGATTTTAATAATCCGAAAGATACTTATGATCATTCTTGTATCCAACTTTTCCAAGACCTTTGCAACCATCATGAAATTCTGGAACCACATGACCAGTTTCAGAGTATTTAATATTCTGAAGTTCTTGACAATATCCATTCTCTATATATTCAAGATCCTAATCAAGACGCTTATGGTGCTTCTCATGTCCAAGTTTTTCATAACAACGATATTGATAATTATTATGTTCAAGAATCACGTGATTATTTTTTAGATGTCTTGCTTTCAGAAAATAACAATGAGGAAGTAAATAATGAAGTTAAACAACAAACCTTTAGAATTAAAGCTAGAATTTTCATTTCCAA